CAAACACAGGGAGGCTGCCAAAAGGAGGAGACAAAGAAATATGGCACAAATGAAAGAAGAGAACAAAACCTCAGAAAAAGAATGAACAGAAATGGAGATAAACCACCTGCCAGATGCACAGTTCAAAACACTGGTTATCAGGATGCTCCAGGAACTCACTGGGTACTTCAACAGCATAAAAAAAAAAAAGACCCAGGCAGAAATGAAAGTTACATTAAGTGAAATTAAAAAAAAAAAACTATAGGGAACCAACAGTAAAGGGGATGAAGCGGGGAATCAAATCAACAATTTGGAACACAAGGAAGAAAAAAGCATTCAATAAGAACAGCAGGAAGAAAAAGAATTAAAAAAAAAAAATGAAGATAGGCTAAGGAACCTCTAGGACATCTTTAAACATACCAACATCTGAATCATAAGGGGGCCACAAGGAAAAGAGGAAGAGCAAGAAATTGAAAACTTATTTGAAAAAAACAATGAAAGAAAATTTCCCTAATCTGGTGAAGGAAATAGACATACAAGTCCAGGAAGCACAGTGAATCCCAAACAAAATGGACCCAAACAGGACCACACCAAGACACATCATAATCAAAATGCCAAACGTTAAAGATAAAGAGAGAATCTTAAAAGAAGCAAGAGTAAAGCAGAGAGTTACCTACAAAGGAGTTCTCATAGGACTGTCAGCTGATTTCTCGAAAGAAACATTGCAGGCTAGAAGGAACTGACAAGAAGTATTCAAAATGATGAAAAGCAAAGACCTACAACCTAGATTACTCTCTCCAGCAAAGCTATCATTTAGAATTGAAAGGCAAATAAAGTGTTTCCCAGACATGGTAAAACTAAAGGAGTTCATCACCACCAAGCCCTTATTATATGAAATGCTAAAGGGAGTTACAGAAGAAAAAGAAGATCAAGACAATGAACATTAAAATGACAAAAAAATCACAACTATCAATAATTAAATCTAAATAACAAACTAAGCAAACAAGCAGAACAGGAACAGAATCATAGATATGGAGATTGTCTGGAAGGTTATCAGCTGGGAAGAGGAAGGGGGAGAATGGAGGAAAAGGTGTAGGGATTAAGAAGCTGACCAGTTAAAGGGACATTGAGAATCCTCCCTGTTTATGCCCAAGCTATGACCTTTATTGTAAGAATGAAATATAGGCATGCTGTCTCCCAGGGAGCACTGGCCCTTCTCCCCAGGAGATTAATAATTTTAATGTTTAACTGTTCCTTTGGGGAGAACTGGCCCTTCCCCCAGAGGGACCTGCTGGTTAGTTAAGTCACACAAGGCCTTTGGCGCATCACCAGCCACTTTTGTCTAAAAGATATTGAACCATAGCCCCCAAAGTAAGACTTTGGAATCTCACCCGAGAGAAGCATGCTCTGCTCAGATCCTTCCCAGTTAGACCCCGAATGCTCTCTCCAGGATTCCCCAGCGTCTATGTTTGGGTGTTGGTGAACTCCCGTCTGGTGATGTATGATCTTGATTCTTGCTTTCACTTAGCTCTCACTTAATAAAGTGTTCAGTTATTCATATTTGACTTGGGGTTTTTATTGTCTGCAAATCTGAACCTGTGAATTAAGCGGGCACGATCTTGTGTGTGCCCCTTCACAGCACAGAAGCACAAATTGGTAGGTACAAAATAGGGAGATGTTAAGAACAATGAAGGAAACAGAGAAGCCAAAGAACTTACGTGCATGACCCATGGACATGAACTAAGGAGGGGACTGCTGGAGGGAAGAAGGGTGCTGGGTGGGGGCAAAGAGGGAAAAATGGACAACTGTACTAGCATAATCAATAAAATATGTTTTTTAAAAAATATTTGCCTATGAAAGGGAGGGAATCAAATATAACTGAAGAATATAAACATCTTTAAAGTCAAAATTGCCCTTGCCCAGAAGAACCACTATTAATAGATTTTTGTAAGTCTCGTTTTCTTAGGCCTATGCAAATTTTCTATCCTTTATACCAACCTACTATTCCACAATACAAACAAATGGCATGGTGCTTTGCAGCTTGCTTTTTCACACTTAATATATTTCAGAGACTTCAGTGTCACATACAGATATGATGTATATTTTTTAAGGTTGTGTTTATTTCTTTTTAGAGAGAGGGGAAGGGAGGGAGAAAGAGAGGAAGAGAAACATCACACATCTATCAGTTGCTTCTCATTGAGCCCCAACCCCAAGATGGACCCTGCATCCCAGAATGTGTCCAGACAGGGAATCGAACCAGTGACCTTTGGCCTTATGAGACAACACCCAACCAACTGAGCCACACGGGTCAGGGTCAATGTAGCATTTTTTTAATTAGCTCAATTAGATTGAATATGGAGTACTTGCTATCAAAAGCAATACAAAAATTCACTCAAAATAGATCACAAACCTAAAAAACCTTTCTCTAATATATGTGTGCTTGTGGGTTAGGCAAAGATTTGTTAGATATGAAATTTGTTAGCATGACTCATAAAATAAAATATTGATTGAAATGCATCAAAATTTAAAATTTCTGCTCTTCAAAAGGCACTGTTAAGGAAAACAAAACCCAAATATTGAGAAAAATATTTGCAAAACACATACCTGACAAAAGACTTGTATCCAGAATACATACAGATGTAGCAAGATCCAATAAGAAGAAAACAAAAGATTTGATTAGACAGACCACCAGAGATGTGAGCAAGGCAAACCAGCATGTGAGATGTTCAACACAATTAGTCACCAAAGAAATGAGAACTAAAACCACAATGAATACCACTATGCATTCAAATGGTGAAAAAGGGTTTTTTTTTTAACTAATAATACCATATGCTATCAAAACTGGGGAAAAACTGGAACTTTCGTATATTGCTTGGGAGAATGCAAACAGGACAGCCATATTGCAGAACTGCTTGGCAGTTTCTTATAAAGTTAAACATACACTTACCATAGGACTCCACAATCTCACTCCTAGGTATGATTAGCCACCCAAGATATGAAACTTATATTCATACTTAAACCTGTACATGAATGTTTATAGTAGCTTCATTAATAATTGCCAAAAACTAGAAACAATCCAAATGTCCCTCAACTAGGGAATAAATAAGCAAACTGTGGTACATCCATACATGTTGGGAACCGCCCTGCCTGGTATCAGAAGCTGTAACCCCCGCCTAGGCTAAGGCTAAGGCTAAGGGAACGCCCTTGGGACTGTAAGCCAGCAAGGAGACAAAAGCTTATCTCCCTGGCAGGAGCACTGCTTCTGCTGCTTCATTCATAACTGAACCCCAAAGCTTGGTCAGTTAGCCAAAGACGGGTAAGATTCGCCAAGGGGGGAATGATCTAAGACAGGCACGATCACATGAGAGGCCCCCAAGAAAGGACTTTGGGGGTTACAGCAAAAGGGGGTGATGGACCCTCACCCCTCAGCTTTGATATAGCCTGAGTCCTCATCCTCTGGGAGAAAATCTCCTTATCTCTTGGTTGCCTTAGTTCCCTTGCTCCACCTAAGCCTGAAACAATGACAGGGTGGTGCAGCTCTGTGCTGAAAAGGGTGGACTCCCCGGGTGATCAGACCTAAGAAAGAACATGTAAATTTCTGTGAAACCTTCTTTGTTTAGAATGTTCTCAGTTGAATGAGAAGGGTCCAAGAAGGAAGTTTGTCCCTCAAAGTTTTACAGCTCTTTGATCCTGACTCAAAATAGGCCCTCAGACTTCCTTGTTATCTATTGTTTGATCCTTACTTCCCTAGCAATGAGTAATGAGCTTTTACCTGAATTCTTATGCAAACGAAACCAATAAAAGCCTCTCCTGAGGGGGAATGTCACACTCTCCCCACCAGGGAGGGTGGCCAAGTAGCACGCTCCCCAGGTGAGGAGTGGCCAAGGCGCCCTCCAGGAGAGAGGGTGGCCAAGGCTCTCCCCACGTGAGGAGTGGCCCTGCTGTTCCTATTCCCCCACAGGACCTGGCTGTCTCTGTGTATGTTTTTCTCGAGTTTCGACGAGCCATCCGCAGCGTTCCGTGATCACTGCTGGCCAGTGACCCATACATCACATACAAAGCCATACTACACAGCAAAATAAGGGAGCAAACAATTGATACAAAACATGGACAGATCTCAGCTGCATTATACTAAGTTGAAAGCAGCCAGATTCAAAAGGCTGTCATATTGGGCCAATTATAGGCCATTCTGGAATACACAGAGCTGCAGGGAAAATAAGGAGCGGTGCCAGGGCTGGGGGCAGGAGTTAACTACAAACCGGTAGGAGGGGATTTGGGGGGAAATTATGAAATTGTTCTGTATTTTGATTGTTGTGTCAACTGTGTTTGTCAAAGCTCATTGAGCTGCACATTAAAAGAGTGAATTTTACCGTACATAAAGTATACCTTAATTTTAAGTTAACCTTTTTTACAAAGCTTTGTGTAGTTGTATTTGTACATCCAGAAGATAAATCAGAATTGCATAAATAACATTTGCATTTCAAATTCTGGTAGTCTGCCAAATTGTTCTTCAGAAGCATTGTACCAAATCACACTACTACCAACAAGGTATGATGAAATGAAAGTCTCTTTCGCCAAACTGGACTGGGGTCAAGTTTTAATGCTTAATCTCAAAGTTTTTTTCATCTTTGTCAGTCTGGTGCCAAAAGGTATCTGGAGTTTGACTTCCATTGCTCTAATTACAAGAGAAGTTGAACCTCTACTTAATGGTTGCTAGCCACCTGTTATTTTCACTTTTTCGCTGAAATGCCTATTTTCATAGTTTGCCATTTATGGTCTATTTTAAATGGCTGATGATTGGTTTTTATATAAATTCCAGGATGTTGGTCAGACAAGGTTCCCTGGCACACCCTCCCCAACCCCCCGCCCCCCACCCCGGACCGCCCCCCGGCCTCCCACTGACCCTGCCCCACTCCCTAACAGCCAGGCTCCGGGCCCCGCGCCTGACACGACTCCGCTCCGCTCACTCCTTGGCTCGTCGCTCGGCTAGGAACCGTCTCCTAACGTGCGCGGTTCCTCACCTTCCCGGAGGAAGCTCTGAGAGCTAGTCGCCAGTCGACAGAGCCCTGAGGGCTCACAAGCGCACCGCAGACACTCGCAGCGTCACCCACTGTCCCGCAAAAAGGACGGGGGTCTTCCCTACTACCACAGCTACTCTGGAGGTAAAAGGAGCTGCGGAGCCAAAGCGCCCCTGCTTCTGAGAAGGCGGTTGCCCTGGCAACCAGACTCGACGCTTCCAGTCTCGCGATAAGAAGAAAGGGCTGTACCATCCGGACTTGAGACGTGGGGATCAAGGGCAGCTGACGGAACCCCAGGAGCTGGGATAGCACAACGGTCTCCTCCGTGTGCCCGGAGGACTGTGTGGATGGAGAATGGTTTGTTCGGATTTAGGTCGATTCTGAACTAGTATGTCTGGGTGCTTGTATGGCTCTCCCGTCACTATCAATATGGTGCGCGCCCTGCAGGTCAGCTACCCTCTTTGGGCTCAGTTTCGTCCTTTGTGTTGAGGACGTTAAAATATCTTGCTCACAAGATTGTTGTGCAACTCCAAAAGATCATGTATGTGAAGTTCTTGGTAAAGTTTGAATGCCATGTAAATTAAAAATAGTAGTGACACAAATTGGGCTACAGTCCAAAAAGGGTAATAATTGTTATTTGTCATTTCTCTGATTCTGGGTGCATGAGATTCGTTGAGTCCACAAACTGATTTTCGTCATCCCTAGTACAATGAAATATCTGATTTTTTTTCTTCAGTTTCAACAGTACTTTACAGTTTACAATGCATTTTCACATACTTGGCCCCTTTATCCTCGTTTTAGGTAGGTGTTCTTGAAGTGTTTTTCAGCAGAGCAACTAGATAAAAGTTAAGTGAATTAACTCAGAGAGCCACAACTCCAATCTAGGGCAGTGCTGGGGTGCTGTAAGTATAGTAAGTATAGTATGTGGCTAAATCCTGCCTTTCTATCTCCAGCTCAGCCTTCTCCCCTGAAGCCCACATTCTTCTATCTGACTATGTGGCATGTCCACGTGGACACCTCCCCCTAGGTGTAAGAAGGGTAAACTTCACATGGCAGAAAAACAATCTTCTCCAAGTCCCCTCCACCACCATGAACCTCTTATCCATTTTGGTAAAAGGTTACTCCTTCCTCCCAGGTGCAGACCAAAAACCTCGAAGTCATCCTCAATCCTCTTTCTTGCACATCCTAAACCAGTTATCAGTCCTAGCAGCTCTACATTCAATACACAGGGTCCCGCAGAAGTAAGGCCTGCTTGAGTGTGGCTGGTAAGGTAGTAATATGGGTGTAATAATTTATAGTTTTAATTTGAATATGTCACCGAAAATGTCATATGGTGTATTTGAGTGTGATACTGTATTGTTACAGAATTACATGCTTATGATTGTGTCAGAAAAGATTTTGTAATAAGAAGGAGTGTTGTTTGTGCAAGACCCTCTCTATCCAGAACCCAACCACTTCTCACTGCCTTCAGTGCTTCCATCCTGCCATCATCTCATCTCGATTTTGGCAGTAACCTTTTAACAGTTGCCTTCCTCACCCCCACTACCTTGGAACAGTAGCCCAAGGGATGCTTTCAGAACCTAAGTCAAACCATGTCCCTCTGCTGAGGACTCTCCATGGCTCCACATTTCTCGCAGCGTCCTCACCATGCCCACCAGTCCTAAAGGACCAGGCCCTCCAGTCCTGTCCTCCTTCCCTGGTACATGTTAGTCCAGCCTCACCGTCCTCCTTGTCAGTGTTTCTACACTCGAATTCTTCCCCGTCTTTCTCAGGAAATTTATGTTTTTCCAAATTAAAAAAAAAAAATCAAGTGAGAAATCAGGAAAATGGGAGAAAGTATTCTAATTCTCCTATGAGAATTAAACCTTAACAATCTACATAGAGATGTTACTGAAGAAATCCACTGACGCCAAGTTAAAAGCAAGAGCTTTTGAGAAGTCGAGGTCAACATTCCAGAATCTGAGACAGGAGCACCTGGGAGAGATACGGTCACAATGTGATTGCTCAGAGCTGGTGCCACATTATAAGTGTGTGTTCCTGGCTGGCCCTGTCTGTTGCTTAACAGGGAAATAGTCTTGCAAATAATCTAAATATTAAGAAGTTAATACTCATTGTATACTTTATACAAATTCTATGGTGTTCCAAGAAATATGTTTTGATTCAAAATAAGCCCTTGAATTGGCATGTTCCAAATCATGATTCTGTGTGAAGGGCCGTTAACTGTGCTTGGAGATTTGTGTGTTACATTATTCAAATGGCTCCCAGTGATGTTCTTGTGTTCTCCAGTATTTGATATTTGCTATGTAAACACTTGTAAATGTAAGAGTTCTTATATTTTAAACAAGTGCTTCAGATGGTCATGATAACGAGTAAAGAATATGAAGAGAGTTGGAAGTATTTTAGAATAACAAGATTTTGAGAACTCCTGGCAGTTTTGATTCTTTAGTATCTGTTGGGAATTTGGAAACACTATTCCTTGTTCTCCAATACGAATAACCACCTCCCCAACACACACACACACACACACACCCCAGCCCACTGCTTCCTCTGCCTGGAATAGTTCCCCGGCTATCCATGTAGCTGGCTTCCTCTCTTTGCTCAGGTAGCTTTTTCAGGTGGACCTTTCCTGACCACCCTATTTAAAATAGCCCTCCCCCTCTCAACACTCCTTATTCTCTGTTCCCTTGACACTGCTTTACTTTTTTTATAGGGCGGAGAGATGCCATTGTTTGGATTCTGATGCTAAACAGCTGGGTGACCTTAGAGTGTAATAGATTCCCAAGTGATGCCAATATTTGTAGTCAACTGACCATATTGAGTAAAGACCAGATAATCTCAAAATGCCTGCACAGTTCTGTAGTCCATGAATAAAGGCCATTCTTTCCATTTTGACAACTAATGGTGCTCATGAGAAAACAACACATTTCACCCTGGCCCGCTGGCCACAGTCATCCCATGCACAGAAAGGTCATGGGTTTGATCCCTGGTCAGGTGTGTCTGGGAGGCAACCAATCCATCTTTCTGTCTGTCTCTCTCTCTTCCTCTCTCTCTTTCTCTCTGTATCTCTTCCTCTCTCTCTTCCTCTCTCTCCCTCTCTCTCTCTTCTTCTCTCTCTTCCTCTCTCTCTTCCTCACTCTCCCTCTGTGTCTCTCTTCCTCTCTCTCTCTCTTAAAATATTCTTGGGTGACGATTAAAAGAGAAAAGAAAACAACACATTTAAAAACAACTAACTACTATGATCAGTGACCCTGATTAACTGGTGTTTTCATTTTTTAATTGTTGCTTTTAAAATATTTGCAACATAAGATAAAGCAAGTGAAAAAATTCAGGTTCAGTAAAAACTTAGTCTCTTCACTGTAATCTTTCCAAACTAAGTCCCCATTGATTACATTTTGCATAAAACACATTTTATCTTGGATTGCTTTCTGTTTATTTACCTCTTGCTACTTCCCTTTTGCAAAGCGCTGAGAAGCTGTGTGTGCCTTGAGGGAAAACTTTAATAAATTGCATTTGTTGTGTTTTGGTACAGAATAATCGTGTCTCTGTTTTTAATTTTCTAAAATACTTCTGTGTCAGGAGCATTGCAGGTGACACCCTCAAAACAAAGTACATCCGGATGTAAGTCAGGGAGCACCACATGCTTCTATGCCGTTTTCTGAAATAGCATGTTCAAAACACCCAAACATATTCTAGGCAGTATTTTTTCTTCCAAAATAATTCATAAAGATTTCTTCTAGAGTCAAGATATTTTAAGCTAAAATTCCTCTGGTCTCATTCCAGGTTGAAGACATATGGCAGTGTCGGTTTCAGAGTTGGCTTTTGTTTTTGTTTTCAGTCTCTCTCTGTTCTTGACGTTCTCCTTCTGAGCGGAGTCAGATTTTGAATGAATGAGTGAGAGCCCACATTGTATTCCATCTGGGCTGCAACCGCCCTTCCAGTCTCATTGCCCCAAATTCCTTTTTCTCACCATAAGCTTCAGCCAACGCAACAACACATTAGAAGAGGAACCTCATTAAGCCTCATAGAATCTACAAACTAGATTAAATAGTCCTTTCTCTTGAAGGGCAGTTAAAAGTATGTGCCATTGGACAGTTTCCACCTCCAGTGAGTCTATGGCTTAGACTCAGTGTTAAAAAATAACACTGTTTAGGACATACTTTAGATGCATTATTTCACTTCGTAACATCTGATGAGGCAGCACTATTATTATCCAGGTTCACAGTTAAGAAGCAGAGCACAGAGGCGTTAAGTAGTTTTTCCAAAGTATTTCAAAATGAAACGACCCTGAGATTCCAACCCGAGTTCCAAGACTGCTCTCTTTTCCTCACTGGACTGAATTCAAGAAAAGAGGTTATTTGTATCCACTAGATGGTGCTGGCTGTCTTCTGTTAAAGGCAAAACTGCAGCCACCCTTCCAGAAACTCACTTCGCTTCGATTTTAGGTGTGATTCAAGAAACCACTGAACGGAAATATTCTGTATGTCTGAGCTGCACTTGGGTACATCTTTAAATAGCTATATAAATAGGAAAAGTGAAAATTAGATCTCAAAAACACAATGAATTTTTTAAATCTCTTGGTACATATTATAAACACCTGATACCAAATACCATTAGTGACTTTGAGAGATTGCAGGCCTCACGGACTTAAAGAGAAGTCTGTGCTTTATTCCATTTGCCCCCTTTACACCAGCTGCACGCCCTCCCACACTTCCCAATCTTGGTTGGCCAAAATATCATCCGCATCAAGACTCATGAACAGGAAAGTAAAAAAAAAAAAAAAAAAAAAAACCATAAAGAACAAAAATCAGGTTTTGGAACAGGTAATCCTATCTTTAGTCAAATAAAAATGCATTTTAAGTTTAGTATGTGCTTAGAGTGTTTTTAGTACATTTTCAGTACTTAAAAAACTATGTAATAAATCTGCTAAAAATGGGCTCTCAGATTCTGTTACCCATAAGGATCTTTTCAGTGGTATTTAAAATGTTGATATTAGTCTGCTCCCTGATGTAGTAGGTCTGGGGTCCAGCCCAGGAATCTGTGTTTTAACAAGTACTTTTATGATTCTGGTGCAGGAGAACCAAGAACATGCTCTTAAAAACAGTGACTTCAAATTGTGTTCTAAAGGATTAACGGTGAAGAGGTCGCTGCTCTTGACAGACACC